GAAACATCTTACCTCCTTATTCCTTATTTTTCCTTATTACGTAAACTTCAAAAAGGTCTCAATCTTTTAGATAATTCAACCTTTGGATGGTTTTTACAACTACGCTGAGAACATAGTTTAAAATATTTTTTTTTAAACAAATGCTGAGGAGACAGTTGAAAATATGTTAATCTATGATTAGAAGACAGTTGAAGTTATGGTTACAAATATGTTGATTTATGGATAGAAGATAGTTAAAGTTATGGTTACAAACATGTTAATTTATATTTAGAAGAAGACGCATCGCTGTAGGAGACCGTCCTTATTTGAGAAAGATTGAAGACCTACACCATTCCTACTTTGAGATAAGTTTCATTTTTATCTTTGAAAAATTAAATAAAGAAGTAATTTAAATGAATCATGGCTTGTGTAGAATGTAATTGTTACTTGCCTGCATAAACATATACATTCTGTTTTAACATCAGTCATATTAATTATATTTGCCAAACTATTATAATTCACCTTAAATGATATGTTTATGTAAGTTTGGTGGCGCCCTCCATACCTTTCCTATAGTTAAGTTTTGTCAAGGTTATTAAGTGCTACTCACGGCCCTAATTAAAATTGAGCGAAAACACGGTAAGTAAAACCAACATCACTTTTTACAAATGATGAAACAGCTAATCAGAGCATATATCCCAAGGTTCCCAACACCCCTGAAAAGATTGTACATATTCATTGAATAGTTTTAAAATTATATAATTTGTCTCTTTATTTATTGAATGACTTTCGTATATGCGGATAGCCAAATTTATTGATATTGAAGTATCATTATTCGATATACTTTATTATATCTTTATTTTTTTATACTTATAAAGGATCAGTTTGCAGGTTCATTTAATTTTTCAGTAACCCTCGAAACAGCATGTAAGAAATTTGTTCACATTGTATCCTTATTAACGTAACACTTATTACAGAGAAAAGGTAAACAATATAATTTAGTTTTAAAGATTATTGAAAAATTAACAAGTAAAATTCGATTTCTATTGGTAAATAGGTTAATTAGCCTTTTTCCTGGGAAGATTTAAAAAAGATCCGCTAGTGGCAGCACCAGTGGGGGGTACATATGTTTTGAATTTTCTATTAACAACAACGTCAAATGTATAGATTTATAATGGAAATGAACGGAAAATGATGTACCTGGTGCGAAATTGAAAGTTGCAAAAGTGCAAGATCAGAGGCCAAATCATATTTAATTGGGATTCTTGATTACTATTAGCATTTTTATTACTAATTTGTAGTGATTCAATATCAGTAACAGTAGAACAGATAAGTTTTTGATGTTTATTTTTTCCAGTGCTGTCTTTTATATTTCATACACAATTAAGAAGAAGTTTAAGTTCATTATTTACTATCAATAATGATAATAATATGTAGAATGATATAAAATATAACCTCTTTAAATAAACAATTACTAACCTTTGAAACTGTCGCTAAGACTGGGCAATGGCAATGGCAATGGATTTGGATTTCCTATTGTTGGTCCATTTGAATTAACAAAATGTCTTCTGCCCTTCGTGATAAATGTATACACTTCAAACACTTTTTTTTGTCAACTTGTGGTTTTATAAAAGGCACAAATTTTACACCATCTTGCTTGTAACGATTGTCAGACGTACAATTTGCAAACGCACAATGTTTTGTAGGCATGACAATTTGTCTTTTAATTTTATTTATCACAATATTTATTTATTCTAATAATAATAAAACGTACGTTTGACGTTGTTGTCAATAGAGAATTCGAAACATATGTACCCCCCACCGGTGCTGCCGCTAGCGGATTTTTTAAATCTTCCCAGGAAAAAGGCTAATTAAATTTAAAATTCATTCTTTTGCAACACTCATACATACCTAGAGTAACTATAAAATTTAAAACTAATAACAATTCAAAATTAATAATGACAATAATGACAATTTGAAGTCACGACGAAAGCTCGTTGACCTTAAAATACTTTAGTTCATGGATAATATTTGTACTTACCAAACTTTTGTGTACAATTATTAAAGATAAAGATTAATTATACCCAATAGTATAAAATGGTGATATTTACCAATTAATTTGGTACCTTTTAATTAGTAGTTCAGACTCACGGTGTTTATTTTAACAAGGGGTTAAAAAGAAAGGGTGTTTTTTGTTTTGTAGGTTAACAACATAAAATGTGATCATTTACATTATTATAAGGGACTTATATCTCAAAACTGTTCCAATAACTCCATACACCATATTCTCTGGCTTGTGTTGATGACGTCACAGATATGTTACAATTTTCACTTTTATTACTTATGTACATTTTAAATTTTTGGGACACCTTTTTATGTTCCACATTAATATCTACTATAACTCTTAACAATTTTAAATTTTACTTCCGTTTTGAAATAAGCTTTACTTTAATATTTCTTTCTTTGCTTTGGCATCTCTTCAAAATTTTCTTGACTACCTTCTTTTTTTTATCAACAGAAAACAAAAGTATTACAGTTCTTTTAGATTTAAATGGTTATCTATTGATTGTAAGTGAGTTTATTTTAACTATTAATTAAACAACTTTCCAAACAATTTCTATTAAATTTTGATAAATATTTACACATCCGTGTTGTAAATTTTTAGTAATTTGAATTTTTCAAGTTACATTATTTTAATTTGGTACCTTAATAGAGGAGGAGGAGGAGAAGGAGGAGGAGGAGGAGGAGGAGGAGGAGGAGGAGGAGGAGGAGGAGGAGGAGGAGGAGGAGGAGGAGGAGGAGGAGGAGGAGGAGGAGGAGGAGGAGGAGGAGGAGAAGGAGGAGGAGGAGAAGGAGGAGGAGGAGGAGGAGGAGGAGGAGAGAGGAGGAGGAGGAGGAGGAGGAGGAGGAGGAGGAGGAGGAGAAGGAGGAGGAGAAGGAGGAGGAGGAGGAGGAGGATGAGGAGGAGAAGGAGGAGGAGGAGGAGGAGGAGGAGGAGGAGGAGGAGGAGGAGGAGGAGGAGGAGGAGGAGGAGGAGGAGGAGGAGGAGGAGGAGGAGGAGGAGGAGGAGGAGGAGGAGGAGGAGGAGGAGGAGGAGGAGGAGGAGGAGGAGGAGGAGGAGGAGGAGGAGGAGGAGGAGGAGGAGGAGGAGGAGGAGGAGGAGGAGGAGGAGGAGGAGGAGGAGGAGGAGGAGGAGGAGGAGGAGGAGGAGGAGGAGGAGGAGGAGGAGGAGGAGGAGGAGGAGGAGGAGGAGGAGGAGGAGGAGGAGGAGGAGGAGGAGGAGGAGGAGGAGGAGGAGGAGGAGGAGGAGGAGGAGGAGGAGAGGAGGAGGAGGAGGAGGAGGAGGAGGAGGAGGAGAGGAGGAGGAGGAGGAGGAGGAGGAGGAGGAGGAGGAGGAGGAGGAGGAGGAGGAGGAGGAGGAGGAGGAGGAGGAGGAGGAGGAGGAGGAGGAGGAGGAGGAGGAGGAGGAGGAGGAGGAGGAGGAGGAGGAGGAGGAGGAGGAGGAGGAGGAGGAGGAGGAGGAGGAGGAGGAGAGGAGGAGGAGGAGGAGGAGAAGGAGGAGGAGGAGGAGGAGAGAGGAGGAGGAGGAGGAGGAGGAGGAGGAGGAGGAGGAGGAGGAGGAGGAGGAGGAGGAGGAGGAGGAGGAGGAGGAGGAGGAGGAGGAGGAGGAGGAGGAGGAGGAGGAGGAGGAGGAGGAGGAGGAGGAGGAGGAGGAGGAGGGAGGAGGAGGCGGAGGCGGAGGCGGAGGAGGCGGAGGAGGAGGAGGAGGCGGAGAGGCGGCGGAGGAGGCGGCGGCGGCGGCGGAGGAGCTGAGGAGGCGGCTGAGGCGGCAGGCGCGCGGAGGAGGCGGCGGCGGCGGCGCGGCGGAGTAATTTAACCACCAAAGCGTTTCGGAAACTGCTCTTTACTTTTGTGAAACTAGTTTTTAGGCTTTAGCTGCTTTAGAGTTCAAATACAAAAACAAACATTAATAGAAACCATACACCATCTATCTCCAATATTAAACCAAACCTGGAGAGCTGTGTACTTGAAAACAGGCGCATTATATGTAAATATTACATTTTAATTTTAGTTATATGTTTGCAAGTATTTTCAAATAAAAATGTAATAGTCTAATATTTTGTTCATTTATTCATTCGACGAATCCCCCTTGTCAACTTTCGGAAATCGTTAGTTTGAGGAACGCTGGTATTATTATTAAGAATATGTAAGTCATTCGAGTCTGTCTTACTACCTTATTCCTATAATATCTTTTTTCTACGATCACTATCCAAAGTAGGCTTTTGCACATTTAAATCTAACTGAATTGTCATAGTTTGACATTATTGCCGCATATAGGCGGAAAGTTAATTTTTGCACACGCCTGTCTTCATCAGACAATTTTAAAGTTGTTATTATAAAGCTAATTGGTATTTTAAAAGAAAATGTAGACTAATCTGAATCTTTTATTTAAAAATTTCATACTCAAACTCATTTTCCTTAATATTTAAATAATAATTAAAATATTAAAAATAAATTACCTTGTTTTTAATACTTATATTTACCATGTACTGTTGGTGTAAAGCCTAGCGCATCTGTCTTTAAACCTGATGGTCGTGAGTTCAATCCTCACCAGAAATATTTTTTTTTATTTGATTTTTTTGTTTGTAAAATTAAATAAAACTTAAAAAGTGTACGAGCCATTAATTATTATCTTCTTATGATCTTGTTATATTTAAGATGTACTTACTAACAAATATTTTTTATGCTAATCATAAAATTAATCTTCAAGTAAATAGGTAACACAATATACACATAACATATTTTTCGTTGGCTAGTCAAGTTAGTCTGTAAAATTAACGTAGTAAGATTTGAAGTCGGCAAAATAAAACTAGATAATTTCAATATCGTGGTATCGTAGAAAATATCTTGTGTATAATTCGAGCCGAAAGGTATTTGCCGCTTACTTATCTAGTTTTTGGTGCAGGATTGACGCTTTCTTAGTAATTACGTTTTTATATTAACATTGTTAAAATACTTACCTATCGACGCTGATGCAACACAAATGTAGTATGGACGCTGTGGAGAAATAAACATCCAAGGAATTCCACACATCGCACATAAAATACCCGAATATCCATTTACCTCCACTCACTTCGACACTAAAGTTAAAACACATGGCCCATATTGCGACCAACATATCGGCCAAAGCCAAACTCACTACGAAATAATTCGTGATCACGCGTAACTTCCTGTGCCTCATCACCGACACGATCACCAGGAGGTTCCCGAACAATGCGGCTATAATAATAAACATCATCGTCAAAGTCTTTAGGGCTACCAGGAAGCAGAGAAACCATGAGTGCGAGGGCCAGGGATTAAATGGGTTGGATATCGAGTTATTGGTGATGTGATCTGTCAAGTTGTTTTCTATTATATCGGAGGTATTCTTCGTTTTTTGTTCGGTGATTTTCATAAATTCGTTCATTTTTCGGATTGAGCAAATTGGTGTGGTTGATTGGTTCTTAGATTATGATTCCTGAATATGGTTGCGATGACGTTTGGCACTTCATTTTGCTATTGTCAGCAGGACCTCCTGAAACAAAAATGTAATGTTATTTCTTACATACAAACATAGTCATTACGAATTTAGTTCGTAAGAATACATGTTGAAACAGAATATAAACAACTGCTGAGTCTGTTATTATAGTCTATTTTTAAACTACATTACATAAAAAATAATAAGAGCCATTCGTAACGATATCATTTCCAGACCGATATTTTCAAATAAATTGATGTTTTTCTCGCAAAACAAAACGAACATCAAATGGAATTCGTCTCATTATGGTGAGCATTATTTCTACACTTTTCCAGTTTTGTAATAATAATAAAAAACATTTCTTAGTCTTAGAGGTACAAAGAAATGTTACAAGGTATTTATAGGAGGACTAAGGATTAATTATTAAGATGAATTACAACTTATTAAGATGGTATGTATTTATAATTTACAAGTCAAATAATGAGGGTTGATCCCTATGCTCTGCTTGTGACATGTTTATAATGACAAGAGTATTTTAACAATTATTTTATTTTTGCATGTAATATATCTTAATCCTACTGCACTTGTCCCAGCAACATTTAAGTATTTCGAAAGATTTACGAAAGACATTGTCTTTATCCCCTTCAAACCATTTAATTACGGCTGACATATCATTGTCACGTCATAATCGTTTTCGTCCACACAAATGTTCTTTTAGTTTTGGGAATAGTTTCTTGGTGCTAAACGTCTAATCTGGCAAATAGGACGAATCTTCTATGAATTAAAATCCTGCTTCGTCTTGACGAAAGAGTACACCTTAAGATAATTTGATATTTTTATTTTAACGCGTAATTCAATTAAAAAATTTATTCTAAGCAATAGCTACCTTTAATTGTAGCTGTTGCGTCGCCTCCCAAGCACCACGGAGACATGATTATAAAAGAAAATGATTTTATATTTATCGTATAAATGCTACAATAGGCACTAATTTAACATATAACTATTGCCCTAGAGATAAATATATCTCAGAGAGTAATATATTTTATTATTTTGTTATAATTATAAGACTACCTTTAAAACATGTTTAAAAACAGAACAATGTAATGACTTATTAATATTTATATCACTCCTTATAGGATTATTCTTGCTTAAGTGTAATATATTTTATAAGTGTTTCATAAGTGTTTTATAATTATATTCCAGATACGTATAAAACATAAAAATTACAAACAATTTTTATTACACGCTTATAATGACATTTTATATGTAATTATACAGAGTGGCCTAAAACTCCGGAAACGGCCAATTATCTCGTAAATTGCTAGCCATAATTGCCAGATTTTCCGTTTCTCATAAATCATTAGTCACTTTGGTTTTTCATATTAAGTCATTATTGGAATCTTCTATTCAATACTAGTACCACTATATGTAACACTTATGATTTTATGTAGTATAGAAGGTCTTAAATAAATAAAACAAGTCTGGCAACGCCTAATTGTCTCATAAATTTTTTAATACAAACTATTTTCAACTACATTAAAACGTAACAATTGAAAGAATACACCATTTTTAACATAATGGTTACTTTATCAAGTGTTCAAAATGTGCTTCATTTTTGAGTTGACAGTACCCTAATCGATGATAGAGTGCATTTACCACATTTCCCCTTGATTGTTTTATTTATTTAAGACCTTCCAGACTACATAAAATCATAAGTGTTGCATATAGTTGAACTCGTATGGAATAGGAGATTCCAATAACAATAATAACTTAATATATAGGGTGATTAATTTGAAAAACCAAAGTGACTAATAATATAAGAGAAACGGAAATTTTGGCAACATTGTAAATATTAAATCTGGAATATACATATCCCAAAATAGGTGAACCGCAAATTTTGTACAATCAGGACAAGCAATTTACGAGATAATTGGCCGTTTCCAGACTTTTGGGCCACTCCGTATAACTCTCTAATATAACAAATTATACTTGGCGATAATTTGATATTCATGTATACTTTTAAATAATAGTTTTATAACTGTTGCAAAAGAGGACATATTAAAACATTTATAAATCTCTTACAAAATTAAAACATCTTAAAAGAGGATTTGATTATTTAGGCTCACTTAGTCTAACCTAACTTTTTTATTTTAATTTCTTAAAATGTCCAGTACGTGGAAAAACCGGAAGAGAAGCGGATACTTCTGAAAAAAAATTAAAGCAAATTATGAGAGGATTTTGAGTAGCACAGTTACTAGGGTACAATATATTCAAAAAGTTAATGCTGATATAATAGGACCGAGTAAGGACTGCACTGAAGAATCAGCCAATATACATTGTAGTCGTGAGTCTGATCAAGAAAACAGATGTTTAGATATCAATAATGATAGCAGTAGTAGTAGCCCAGGTTTCTGCAATGCTCTAGAATCTAGTGATGATGAGGATAATGCTATATTGACTGAAACCAGTAAAAACTGTAAAACAAATACGAGCTTGGGCTGTTTCATTTAATATTAACCACGCCTATAAAACTATACAAGCAATATCCACAATAAAGGGGTCTGTGCGTTTCCTGGACTAAATAACAAAACAAAGGTTATGTTTTTATTTTCAAAACATTACAAACGTATTAAGTGCGTATACGACATGTACACGAGCCTTATACGATAATTTATATTAACATGCCTTTGTATAAAATAAAAGTATTTTATTAGTGATTTATAATAATCGCATGAAGCGTAATAATGTTACTGTCACGTTCCCTTTTGCTAATATTGGCAACTAGAGAAATTTCTGTCAAAGATTACCAAATCCGGGGTTGCCGATACGAAAAACTTTACACTAAAATGACTGAAAAAATTATAAAACCTATAATGTGGTATTATTTTTATAGGATACATACCCAGGTATATCTAGTAGTTTATGGGTGGCGTTGTCATTGTCATAAGAATATTTTGTCAATATACAAAAAAATCAGTCATAAAAATACCAATCTGTGTTGACGTTTATATTAAACATTTGTATTATCTAGCAAGGCCATCAGTGTCTTCAAACAAACCTGCGTGTTCTACGTATGTCAACTTTAATTTTATTATTTGACACTTAAACACTTTCAATCTATTCCAACAATACAAATGAACAAGTTTTGAGATTTTTCTATGGATAGGAGAGATAAAATATTTTAATTAATACCATTAAACCCATAAATCAATTTGGAACCAATTTGTGTTGTTTTGTTAGGAAAAAAGTACGACTTCTGCGCAAAAGACATATCTGTAGAGTAAATTTCTATAATATTAAAATACTGGGCATACAATATGCGTAGAAAAGATGGTAAAGATTCTGTAGTTTAAGCAATTATTTTATAAATTAATACAGAAATACAACGTTTCACTGATTTTTTTGTAAAATTGGACTAAAAATGGCGGTTTAGATGTACTCTAGAACACCGACACAAATATTTTTGTTTAAATTTCTACTCCATTCCGATTTTTCAATTTAAAAATGTTTATGGAATATAATAAAATATAGGTATTTAAATAAAAAAGACAAACAGGATTCAGGTCTACTTATATTGGTCGGGTTGAGACAGGACTCCTACTCCCAGGCGCGAGCTCAATACTGCACGACGCGGAGACGATAAACTGTATACTTAAAAATATGTTCTATTAATATTGATTTGTAAATAAAAAAATTGTAAACCATGTTTAAAATACGATTTGAATTGATTCTTATAAACCAGGGCTTGTGAAGATCCTCTACGTGGTTTAGTCTGTCAACATATATACCTGAAAATTCGACGTCCTAATATATTATCTTTCGGTCCGTGGGGCTTCAGTCTGGATAAGGTGAGAACCACCAATTTAGCGTCTCTCAAATTTGTTTTCAAATTCTATTATGTACCAGGTGGGAAACTAAAAATGGACGCCGCCGGCTATATCACAGAAACAGATCAGTGTATATATTCGGCAAAAAAATTTTTGCAATGAAAATGGCCATGAAAAAACGCAGGACAATGTTTTCGAGTTCTTTAAATGGCCGCTAGGGGTGCAACGAACTCTCGAAAACATAATCATGTGATTATCCCGAGAAATACAATTAAAACCTTCATAAGATTATACAAAAAATACTTTTTACCCCTACAAATAAATGTTATGTAACTTTTTTGTTTTCTAACCGATGTCAATGATTTTGACGTAATTTAAAATAATTTTTCCTGTTTCATAAGATGCATAAAATGAATAACAATAATAAATAATTCTGTCGCGTCTAGATTGCACTATGTCAAAAAGTTAACAATGTTCCTATTTTTCTCGAAAATTTTAAATGCAATGAAGCTTTTTTTTTAATTTAGATGAAAAGTGGTAAAAAATCAGGAATCTAGTGAAAATCGCAGATATAAACCTTAAACATATTATGATATAAATAATGAAGATTAGGATTTATACATCGATTTAGATTAATAATATTAAAATTATTTTAATTTATTAGAAATATGGCAACATTGGAAATTCGAAAGTATCTAAGGAGATATAAATTACGTCATTTCCAGTTATAAAACGAATGTGTCTTAAAAATAAGCATTATATAACAATTTAGAAATATAATTGCTTTATTAGAAATAACTACACGATAGTTTAGTTACATAATTGTTTCCGAAACAACAAAACTGATTTATTGATTGACTCCATCTTGGATACGTTTATCAAACAGTAAATATAATGTCTACCATGTTTTTATTTGTAAACTATTTCAAAATTATTAATAAATGTTTACACTAGTTTTTTCAGATATCGAAAATAAGCAAATACTTTGTACAATAGAGACAACATTATCAATATTTACGAATTTAGGTAAATTTTTGAAACATTAATTAAATTATTAAAGTAATTTTTTAAATAACAAGTAATTAAATTCGGGACCCGTGAAAATTTTCCCATAATTAGGCATATATAATGTCAGTAAAATTTGTGGAACAGAAGATATTACTGGATAAACAGTGAAAATAATATGCATATAGTTTATTACATGAAAACCATCGCCATTATATATTTGTT